TAATAAAAGAACACTTAACTGATATTGGATGTCAGTTCAAACATTTGTGTTTCAGGAATTTGGAGTTTGAATGTTCATAATGACAGGCAGACAAAGTTGCCGTAGAATGTTCACAAGAGTTGGTTGTTTTTTCTTTCTGCAATGTGAAATATGGAATTCAGGAATAATATTTGTGTTCTGTTTCCCCTTGGTTACTTGGATTGCATCTGAGATGAAAGTAAAATGTTTTCTTTCTATCTTTTTAGGTACAATATGCCTTTTTTTACCCATTAAATAGTCAAATAAACCCAAGATCACCAGGATGAAATTTCCTTATTCCCTACATAAATTTGTACCCACATGAGGTAATTTTGGATTTTTTTTGCTGTAATTTATATGCTCTGTTATAATAAATACATTGATCTCTCTTTGTGGATCTGTTTTAATATTTTATATTATTAGGATCCACCAAAGGACCTATTACCTGTACTATATATATATATATATATATATAAACTCCAGTTTTCACAATAAGTGCAATGTTGATTTTCTAATGAAAGTGAAAAATCAACTTTTCTTGTGTTTTGGGTCACTGTCTTGTTGGAAGGGACTTTTGCAAAATTTGCTTGTCTATGCCAATATATTTTTATACCAGAATAATTAAAATGAGCTAAAGTATTCTAGCTAGGGATCTTCAGATTGTTCTTGATGTCGCCAAGAATTTTTTTTGTCACACCAAGTGATACCTTTAGTTTCCTTCTTCCTCCTTTGAGGTTTTTTATGGTGCAAACTTTCTTGATAATGCTTTGAACTGTTGGAAGGGTTGACAGGCAATTGACTATAAATCAAATAACCAATGCTATTAGCATATCCATGAGAGAGTTGAGAAAATTCTGCAGAATGAACTTGGGATGACAAAGGTTTTTGCTTGTTGGATGTTGTGCCTTCTGACATCTGATCAAAAGTGCACCAGGTTGATCACATTATAGGAAAATCTAACATTGAGGTAGATTCAGTTGGTTTCCTTGAAATTTTTCTAACCCAGGATGAGTGTTGGTGCCATCCTTTTAAACAAGCAACAAAGAGACAATCCATGCAGTGGAAACACCCCTCCTTACCTGCTTCAAAAAAGGCCAAGGTTGTTTTGTCTGCAGGGAAGGTGATGGTCTCATTTTTGGGGATGCAAAAGGCATTGTATTTATTGACTATCTTTAAAAGGGCCACACCATCAATGGAGAGTACTTGCTGAGACAATTATGAAAGGCTATCAAAACCAAACACCCAGGAAAAAATGATGAAAGGGATTTTATTTCATCAGGACAATGTTCCAGCACACAAGTCCTTGGTTTCAAGGGCTGCTGTGCATGACTGTGGCTTTGAATTGGTTGATCATCCTCCCTATTTTCCTGATTTGGGCCTATTCAACTATCTGTTCTTCAATATTAAAAACACTTAGCAGGGAACCAGTATTGCAGTGATGATGATGCCATATTTGCTGTTGATGATTTGTGAACCAAAACATTTTGCTGTAGTGTACATTACATGTTGCACCCTTAGAAAGAATTACTAATAATGGTTTTAACAATGGAGTCATATATAGGTAGGGAGAAAAATGTATCTATCTAGGTGTATCAGATGCCAAAAATTGAAAAATTTTAAATTTAAAGCTAAGTATCCCTGTATCTTCAGCGTTTTTCAATGTAAAATTATAACCAGCATTTATATTATTTACCCCTCCACTTATATATAAGACTGACTCAATCAATAAAACTATCAATAGTAATTCACTGCCTGGACCAGGCAGTGTTTACTTGGAATAAATGGAAACAGGGCAAGCAATAACTGAGCAGTACTAAAATAAGGAACTAGACAAGATATAACTCGACATAGACAGTGGAATGAGAACAATCTCCCCCTGTTGATTAGATATGGGGGTTCAATTCAAAATTCCCTGTCGGTTACTTGGCTCAATATTAACCTGTTGAAGGCTGTAGAGCATAACAGCCAAAATGTTGTAATAAAAACAACGAGTATGAGGATAATAGTCTGAATATTAATAGTGTAGATAAGGATAGTTTTTCGTACCTTGGTTATGAACCTATGTTAGAAAGTAACAAACCAATGCTTTAGTCCACTAATCTATTGTCCAATATGGTGGATAGTGTTTACTTGAATGCAGCTGAAACAGGATGAGTAATGATTGAGTAATACTAAAAACAAGAAGTAGATGGATATCCTTAGACGTGGGCAGCGGAACTGGAACAGTTTACCCCTGTAGGTTAGATAAAGGATTCAGTTCAGAATTCCATGTAGGTTACAAGGTTTAGATTGGTTTGGTTTATTTTGTTTTATGGCATATCAACCTCAGTGGGTTATTTAATGCTGACAACATTTTTAGGATAGATTTGTATGAATAGAATATGTATTCTTTGGTTTAGCTTGGTTTGGTTTATTTTGTTTTATGGCATATCAACCTCAATGGGTTATTTAATGCCAACAAAATTTTTATTGCTGGTAATATTTTGTTTTGTCAAAAATCTTTTGTTGGTAATATTTTTCCTTCAAAATTGTATTGCTGGTAATAATTTTTTCCAAAAAATTTTGCTGGTAATAGTTAACTATTTGCTCATAGATAACAGGTGCTACCACCCCGTGTCAGGGTGAACCCGAGAACACCAGCAATTAAGAGGTGGTTGTACACTCCTCAAAACCTCCTGATCAGAGGGCTTGCTGCTGGACGTAGTTTATCATCTTACCCAGGACACGGATGTAGTTTAACATCTTATCCAGAATGGTTACCTGGATAGACATACACCTGATGAAGGCCATAGGGTACAATGGCTGAAACATTGGGATAACAACAGGAAGAATGAAGACAATTGTCTGAATGTAAATAATGTAAATAAAACAGTTTTTCTTCTTAAGAAGTCATTTTTGGAGACAAAACACATGGCATAAGAGTTTTTTTTTCATTTTGTCATTCCCATATATATATATTTATATAAATGTGTGTGGGTGGGTGTACCTATTAAATGTTAAGCATATTAATTCTTTAAAGCAGCAATTGAATTTTAACTAAAAAAGACATTTCTGAGAGAAATTATACTCTTCCATAAACATGTGTGCCCACATGCAGATGCACTTATGCACACCAATGTGTATAATATAAAATTATCAATTTCTGCATAATGGTATACATAATATATGCACATCACATGAAGAGAGAGCCCAGCCATAAAATAAGGGGAAGTGCGATGTGTTGATTCAGTCACAACCCATACCTGATAAACCTTTTATATTGCTCCCACTCATGTCTGTTGACAATGAAAACAAATGTGAATAGCTCCCTCCACCTCCATCTTCTGTCCTTCCCCCACATCCGCTGCACCCCCCCAAGAAACATTGCTGTCTGCAATTGAAAATACGACATTCAAAGTTAAAACACAATGAGTCTGGGGCAAATGAATAGAAGTCAACATAGAACAGATAAGCAAGATAGGCTTGTCATTTATAGTTTCACTTGTAACGGTAATGGTGACATCAGCTGCTTCCATGTAAGGAAACATTCAATGACTGTGCAGCTGGTACTACTTTCAGTTGAAGTTTATCAAATCTTCCTCTTAAAACAATTTTTCAGAAAAATAAGTTTCTCAAGTCCAGTAGCTGTTATTGCACTTTCCAGTATTGATGGGGGTTTCCTTCCTAACCTTTTGTTTAAAGTAGTGTGGAATGTGAACATCATGATTATACATTATTTTCTTTTTGAGTTATATGTGCTATCCATTTTAGTTGTTGCTGCTTTTGATAGTCCTCAAGTGATGTGGTTTCTGATATTTGATATAGTTCTTTGTTTGTGATTCTGTAGTGTCAGTCCAAAAGGTTTGAAGTGTGATCTTCACTAAGACCGAACCATATTTAACAATTTATCTTAGAAAGTGGTTGTATACAGTTGACTGTTTAGATTTTTTTATACTCTACATAAAGCCTATGAGCTACTTGAGGTAGAGTATTACAGAGTAAGACACACAGTTTATGTGGACATGTGAAGATAATGGTTAATCCTAAACTCGAACAGGTTAAGATTCATTTTGTTTATTTCGTTATTTCATTTTTCGTTCACTATTATTTATCTTTCAAATATTTTTAACAAGAATAAAAAAATGTTCTCATATAAAAATTGATGATGATTTCATACTTTTAATTCTTTTTCTTATTTATTGTTTTATTTCTATTATTGTCATCAAACAAAGAAACATTTGATGACGAACTGTTTACTCCAATATCCTTATAAAATATGTGTGTGTATCTATGTGTTTATGTTTCTATGTTTGTACCTCTGATGGTCATTCCTGGTGGAGGGGCTTGCATGGTCCAATGAGATTAATACTGTCAGGAGTTCTAAAACCCCTGGTACGGCCATTCTTTGTGGTAATGTCTAAAATGAGGAACCAGATTAAACATGACTAATCCCAAAATTGCAAACAATGGTATAAGCAGATGGTGATTACAACAGATCACAATGGTAAACCAGCAGATGAAGTGGGTTATGCATGATGGACATGCTACAGAAAGTGCTACTTGAAATTATAATAGAGTCAGTGGCAGTCCATTACAATTTCATAACTGCATGTTTTATTCTATATGTGCCACAGAGAAAGGTTATGAAGTCAAGTGTGTGGGTCACTTCCTGGCAAGTTGAACCCCACCTTATTCACAAATTCATGTCATTGTAGAATAAACTACTCTGATTTTCTTTCACCTTCAACAAATTCTTTCAAAGCCAAGCATCAATAGGAAATGGATGCCAGTGCAGGTTTTGGTGTAACTGGAAGCTTCTAATCCTGAACCTGCATGTTGGCAGTGAGTACAGTCATCAACACCATCATCATAAAGGAATTGATCAGCAAAGAAGAAATTAAACACTCTAGTAGGAAGGGAGGAAAAATTGATAAAAATAATCAACAAAGAACATTCATTGTTTTTTTTTAATAGAGATAATTGGCAATTTCACATCTTATGCCTTAAATCTTTCTGATCTGGAAATAGTTAACCATTTTGACCAAGAAAGGAACTGAGAAAGTAAAGAAGAAGAGGAGATAGAAAGAGGGCATGAAGAAGGAAACATAGAAGGTAAAAACGAGAGAGAAAAGAAGGTGGAAAAGTGAGTGTGAGAGGAAAAGTAGAAGGTAAGAAAGAGAAAAAGAAATGAGGATGTGAAAGAGCACAGGTAGGATGTAAGAGGGTGTGATGGAGGAAAAGTAAGAAAGAGGAATAGGAAAATGAGGAAAAGAGGGTGTGGTAGAAGAAAGGTAGAAGGTAAGAAAGGGAAGACGAAAATATTGAAAATAGGGTGTGGCAGAGGAAAGGTAGGAGGTGAGAACGAGAAAAGGAAAATATGGAAAAAAGGTTGTGTTGGAAGAAAGATAGGAGGTAAGAAAGAGAAAAGGAAAAGAGGGTGTGGTGGTAAAGGTGGTAAGTAGTAAAAAGAGAAGAGTCAAATATTGAAAATAGGGTGTGGTGGAGGAAAGGTAGGAGGTAAGAAAGATAAGAGGAAAATATTGAAAAGAGAGTGTGGTGGAGGAAAGGTAGGAGCTAAGAAAGAGAAGAGGAAAAGAGGGTGTGGTGGTGGAAAGGTAGGTAGTAAAAAAGAGAAGAGGAAAATATTGAAAAGAAGGTGTGAGGGGGCAAAGGTAGTATTTTAGTTTTGTGTCATCTTAAGGTACAAAAGAACCCCTATTGCAACCTACCTTAAAAACGAGAAAGATTAAAGGAAGTGATTATCTATTAAATTCTTACTGACATTCAACTTTACAGTCATGTTGAATGGAGGATAAAATCAAATCAACTTTTGCTCTCTTTGGAACTTCATCCTTGTATGGTTTTGCTTATAAATTAAATCAGGTGAGCAGCCATTCTATTTTTTAATGACACCAAATATTCAAATTTCATTTGCACACAGATGATGGAATTATTGAAGTTTACTGACTGTTTGCAACTCATCAATTTCAGAACTTGTTTAAGAATTACTTGAAGGAGGTCAAACAAGATGTTTATATGAGGTCTGCTCAAAAAATATTGGGACTGGTGCTATAAAAAAAAAAACTACAACACATATCAATTCTGCATTAAATCTCCTTCAAAGTAACTAGGTATGGGTTCACTTCTGGAGCCACATACTTTATTCAACGTTATTTCCATTGATGAAAGCTTTCCTGCAACTTTGTTTTTGGAATAGCGAGCAACTGCTTTATCACATTCTCATGGATTTTCCCAAGATCTTGAAATTTTGTTCCTTTCAAGTGAGATTTCATGAGGAAAAAAGTCACAAAGGACAAGATCTTGGGAATATGGTAGTTGTTGTAACTGGGAAATGTTGTCTTGGTCAAAAACTGCTGCACAAGCCATGATCACTGATGGAAGCTCTGTGGTGCAGCGATATGACCACACTCTACACACTTTCATTCTATATATTTATATAAAAAATGGAAGTGATTGAGAACATTATAACTTTGTGCATATATGTGACAGATTTCAAAGTCAATACTTTAGCTCTCTTACCATAGCAACAGTCCTGATACTTTTTGATCAGATTTTATATAAATCATGAAAGGAATTAGACAAAGTGCTTTTATAAATTGGGTTTCTGAATGGCCAATAAACTCCATTATCAAGTTTAAATTTAACATTCAAAAAATTGACTTCTCTCAACTTAGTTTCAATTTAGATATTAAAATCAAATACAAATCAAACATTCGCCCTTGCATGGAGTATTGCTGCCATATATGGTCTGGGGCACCTTCTGTTTACCTTGGAGTTCTTGACAAGATTCAGAGACGGATATGTAATATAATTGGCCCTGATCTGGCATCTCGTCTACAGTCACTCTCTCACAGACGCGTCGTCACCTCTCTCTGTCTTTTCTACAAATACTTTCATGGTAATTGCTCCAATGAGCTGCTTTCACTGGTTCCCAGACTCCATGAATTCAAGCGCCCTACAAGGCTGGCATCCCGCTCTCACCCTTTCACTGGAAAAACTTTTAAATGTAGCCGTCTCTTCTACTCCAATAGCTTCATACCTTGCACCTCTTGCCTGTGGAACACCCTTCCCAATTACTCTTTCCCTGAGAGCTATAATCTCCAATTATTCAAATGTAATGTCAATTGACACCTCCAGTTACCTTGATCTACCCACTATCCTTCTCATCCTTTCTTCTATCACTCCTATCTGCTCTTGCTCCAAATCTTCTGCAACCCCCTGCATCCTAGTGGCTTCACACCTTGCTCGGGGCATAATACATTTTACACAGAAAGTAAAACATCTTCAGTTGGCAATTCATTTGGGAATTTGCTATAATTATAGGGAAAGAGGGTTAAGTATTGGAGGTAAAGTGTTTGTAGATATAAATAGTGTGGACATAGAGATCAACATTGCATCATGACTGTCAGTTTCAGGCCTCAAGTAATCTTCAAAGTGCCACTATTCCATTAGAAATAAATATAGGTTACTGAGGAATTAGGGAAGGGAAGAAAGATACTCCTTCTCTGGATTCTATTATTCCCAGTGGCCTAGATACTGACTTACATGATTTCTTCTATTTTTAGTACTTTTTGTTGTTGCCTTTTGTAAGTTTTGGCAACTATTACATTCAGTTTTCAAGTGAATCATTCATTTGTTTCTCCACAAAAATGTAGAACATCTTTTGTTTCCTTGTCCCATCAATTATTTTACCCTGTCCAACAAGGACACTCTCAGCAAATATTCACTGTGTAAACATTTGTCAAAAGGCAAAGGTTGTTTTGCTCTATAAACAAAACAGATCCAAAATTACAGCAACTCAGATAAGCCACAGTGAACAAATCAAAGGATAAATTTAAATAATTTTATTTATTTATTCATATTAATGCTTCATTTATTTCAGTGGTATGGGTGGTAACACGTTTTCCAATTATGAACAAAGTAACAGTTTTGGGAAGAAGCTGTCTCAGTGGAACTTGCTTTTTATCAAAGGAACATAAATGAATTACGTTGCCCCTATAAATATGACATGGTGGGTTCTAGCTGTCAAGGTCTGAGCTGGTGGAACTAAGGAATGTAATGTTTCCAAACATCTTCTATAGTAATAGCAATATGTGAAAAGCTGGCAACATTTCATCCGTGGCATAAGGGTTACAGGGTAGAGAATAATTCATTACCTACCAGGCCATGTAAGCACTTTTGAACTCTGTTGAGGCTGGACAGTGAGTTTTGAGCAGCACCAGACAAGATATGGCAGCAATACTCAGTTCTTGGTCTGATCTGACTCTTATAAAGATAAAGGGTGTTAGCAACATTTTCTTGAGGGATACAAATGACCATTCTTCTAGCATCTTTTGCAATGGCACAAATATACACATTCCATTTGAGGTTGGGAGTGAGCTTTAGTCCTGGTAGGCATTTGAGGCAAGGAGCCTCTTTGAAGGTATGACCAAACATCAAGATTGGTACAGGTTTAGAGTCTGCTCAGTGATGATAAAATGCTATGAATTTAGTTTTGGATGTATTGAATGATATCAGCCAGTTTTTTTTTCCCTATTGTGTTTCTGTAACATCCACAGAGTCAACCTGTTGTTTATACTGCAATTATGCTAAGTGGGCCTTAGTTACAGTTTCTAGAAGACAGTGTATAATCTAACATGATAAGCAATTAGAACAAAGCCAGTATGCTCAAACCCTTGGTCATGATTTTTAACTACATAACCATCAATGACTTGCTAACAATTTCATCTATTCAATTTCATTCATAAGGCTTGGGTCAAGCCATGTTATAGTTTTCAGTCTCATCCCAAATGGTGCTGCACACAGGAATTATCTCCCCAGGCTGATGTTATCAAAGATGTTCCTGTAACAAGATGATAGAAAGATTTATTCTCCCATTTGTATTTCCCCAGTTATAGGTATTATAGTCTGCTGGTCAAAATGTTTGCAAATTTTGACATAATGGATCCAAATGATAGCAATAGAATTTTGCTGTCAGGTCTGTTAAAGTTACAAGAGTCTATGACAGATACTATTATAGCACTAAACAGCCAGGAGGATCTTTTTGGAGGGGAGATATGATTTAGAGAATATTTTTTCAACTCAAAGAAAGCCGTGTCTCTGAGTGTCAACTTTTCATCTACAGTAAGCAAATTATCAAGTCATTTTTGAAGCAAAGTATTAAATTGTGCATACTGCTGATCATCAATCAAATCATGGGGTACCTATAATTTCGTTTGCTTTGCTACTTTTTATTGAATGTTTTCTTAATCTGTGGGTGGTGTAATGCATAGCAACTCAGAATAGAAAGTTGGATAGCAAAGTTTGAATTCTAGTTGTTTTCATTACATTTACTTATCCACAATTACATTTGGGAAAGGTATGAATCCATCTCTTCCCCCCAAATATGAGTTAAATAGTAGGACTTGTATTTTTAAAAATCATTGTTATTCTATAAAAAAAAAAACTGATAATGCAATATTCATTCCCCCCCCCCACTCCCAAATTCTTACAATCCAAAAAATGTTTCAGCTTTAAATAGCCCACAAAGGGTTTATAAAATGTAAAAACAAATCAATCAATCAATCGGATGTTTTCTATGTGTCCAACACCTGCGTGTTTGTTTCTAAAAGAGTTTCTACAGCTGCTCTTAAGTCTTCATTGTCAAATAACAGCCACAACCAGGCTCATCTTCAAGATTCTGATAATCAGAAGTGAATTTTGGGAACTAAAATATGTTCTGTATTGAAGCTGACTCTATTCTATAAGCACTGTTGATGATGTGAGTGTCTTTGGGAGTGCTAGGGCCACTTTAGAACTCATGGAACATGATGACTTAAAAATCCTGTTTATTCATCTTTTTGATGATAGGATGTGTGGGTGGTGTAATATATAGAAACTTTGAATGAGAAATCAGAGAGCTGTGTTCCAATTCCAGTTGTGTTTGTTACATTTACTTATGTGCAAATTCCCTTGAGAAAGGTATGAATCCATCTCTTCCCCACAGCTATGAATTAATTGTATAGTGTGAACAATATGAATTTCCTGCCAGCTGTGGGTTAAATTGTATAGTGGATTGGGCTCTCCAGTCTTGGTTGGTAACTAGTCTAGGAGAAGATCTATTCTGAATTTAAAAACTGTATATCACCCTGGAAAAGTGCATACCATGCAGCTAACAAAAGGATTGTGGAGTTCACAATGACTATGATCCTGACTGTGGTTGGCCTTGTTGTCTATAATAGCTTACAATATAAAACAAAATTAAAAGTAATTAAGAGATTCAAGCAACTGGTGGTGTGGGGACACAGAGCTTTTAAATTATTTATTGTCATACATATAAACAGAAGGAAATGATACAATAACTTCCCACATTGCAAAAACAAACATTTATTTTCTTTCAACCTTGTAATCTTCTTCTATATGCCATGTCCCTTCAGGATGTGGACGATTATGGCTCTCCACAACTTCCTATATTTTGTAGCTCTAAGTAATGTTTGCCTTTTTATACTGAGGCTTGTACATTCCCAAGCAGCCCTTCTAACACTGCATCCTGGGTAAGACGATAAACTACATCCAACAGCAAGGCCTCTGATCAGGATGTTTTGAGGAAGCGTGGAACCACCTCTTAATTGCTGGTGTTCCCAGGTCCACCCTGACCCAGGTGGTAGCACCTGTTAAGGTCCCAGCTATGGGCAAATAGTGAACTCCCAGTTTTTCCCATCATATATACATATATACATCCTGGGTATGACGATAAACTACATCTGCGTCCTGGGTATGGTGATAAACTATGTCCAAAAG